ATGTCTGTAAACTGGCGTCCCTCATGTACTGTATCATGAGAATAAGTTTATTTATTTATTTAACATAACTGATCGTATCTGTAAAAATAGCTTTCTTATTACCCAATTTGGATATAAATCAAAAATGAGATTCGGACTTGTACACACCTAAGTTATATTGTGGAATTACTTCAAGCTTTATTTTTTCCCAAGTATTTTTAATCCATCCAAAACATACTTGGGTTTTTTTGTTAATGCGAAGTCAATATTCCCATATTTCATGAAGTGCTCCATTGAATGACTAGTTATCATATTGTTCCCACAAACCAAAGACAAAAACGTCAGCAACCATGCAATTTAAACATAAACCAAATATATGAAATTTAAATAATGCTCATCCATGCCTGTACATTTGGTGTGTCCTACACAGGTAGGAAAAAGTATGTATTTTATTAAAACATTATTATTAAGTATGATTGCTAATCGTATATGTAATTTGTCATATTGATGATGCCTGTAAACTGGCGTCCCTCATGTACAAAATGAGAATATACTATTATTATTATTAACTGTATTGGGATGAGGACAGTAGGTCATTTGACAGCGAGTACTGGATGATTTGAATCTTTACTATCTTTTCCATTAAACATGAAACCACAGACGTGGTGCTGATGGGGACTCAGTTGTTGATATCGGCTATAGGGACGTACATGTGGGTGGGTGCAATTTAATACTTCTTCCAGTAGGTAGGGTATGTCTCATAGCTTAGTGAAATTGAATATAACTTGAGCAGGATTAAATTCATGCCATTACCACCGTTTCTTAGCAGAATGGAAGATAAACTCTCTGGACCAATAGTAGTACAAAGCTCAAGATTTGAAAAAGCCCTGTCGATCTCCTGTGAGGTGAAAAGTATGTCACTTAGACATCCGTCTGTTTTTCGTCGGAAATCCATGACACGATCGTTCTCCGAGGTGTTTAGTCTGGCAAAGTACTTGCTAAACTGTTCGCATATCCCTTCAATATTCTGGTAAGCAATGTCGTCTAAGTTTATTATTTTTGGTTAGGGTGTTTTAGAGTTTGTTAACCTACTTCCGAAAAGTCTGGCTATTTCTCCTGGGTTATGAAGTGGCTAAATGGCCCGCATCTCTTTGTTTCTGAGTCATATGTTCTTTAATTCTTTAATTCTAGTGAAAAGAAAAGTAATGGCGATTAATGATGATAAGTCTCGACATCTGTAGTGTTTTATTAAGTGCTTCCGTAGACTTCTCTTCAACGATATTAGAATATAATCGCTCTGGGTGAATTCGAAGCTAAGGATCTTCTCAGGTGCAGTGACGTCATCAACCGAATTAACACTAGGATGAAATTGTTAAAAATTTCCTCCAGGAGCTCGGTCGAAAGCACGAGTCCCAATTAGAGCACCTAACTGGAAGCTGGTACAAGTCCTAGTCAGTATGTCTGCACAATCTTATAGGTGTCTGGTCAGTTTCATCTCTGCATTTTGTTTCAGGAAAGATGTCAAAAGCACACACTACTATTTCATGGCCACTACCTGCAAATTTATGTCCTACATTACTGCGGATGGTGTTATGTTGTTCGTGAAAATAAGGTTTAGGATATCTACAGGTCTAGTGGGTTAATCTATGTGTTGTATCCACCCTCCTGTGAGGGTGGTATTCAGGAGATTATCATAGGTTTGTGATCCTCAGAGTGAAGGCCATGATACTTCTAGTATTTCAAATCACCTTCAATAATTTTATGACTGAAGGGATGAGTGACTGTGTCAATGTAGTTGAAGATTGAAAGATCAATTCATGGTTGTTTGCTCAAAACCAACTTCCCCATATTTTCGCGGAGGCATCAATACACCAGCCATCGTCTCATCGGTCGCCGTTCAGAAAAAAGTCAGCAGTAAACCGTCAGAAGTAATGTTGTGATTTATTATTGTAATATTTGCTCATAGACCTTGGTTTAAAGTTTAATTTTAAAGTTGGCTATATGTTGGTGTTACAATAAACAATTCTCGAGTAGCCAGTCGGTGTTTTGGTTTTGCGTCCATTCGTACTAAGCGTTTCTGAGAAGCTTTGAGGGGCAGCGTGAGGCCCAGCGTAGCAAGAGCTGGGCATTAACGGCTTACGAGACGTGGCTGACAGACTGTAACATTAAAAATATTTCTGAGAATGTTATCACACTCCGTACTGGATGAAGTAGAGCGGTACACACAACATATAAGTACAGGTTCACTCCTGATGACTTTTACTTCGACTCTGATCGAGTCCTTGATTTGCGACAGAATTGGGTCTGCATTTAATTCCCTATGCCCCTATCGTCACAAGTTCTGAATACTGCTTATTATTCTGCTACTTGAAACTACAGTAAACAGTCTTACTTACTGATACCCGCAGTTTCATGCAGAGCAATCACGTATCTGCAAGTCATATAGTGAAGAAGGCAGAATGGCATTTGATATCGGCAAGGATCTAGACAAAATCGCAAGACTTAAACGTTCGGAAGCTTAAGCTAAAATTGGGAAGGCCTTAAACCATTGGCAGAAGTTAACTTTCCTATAACTAGACCTAGTTTAAGATAGTCAGCATGCAAATTTCTGTTAGAGTTTAGAGTAAATAAATAGAAACTTAACTTGCGGTGTGAATGTTCTGGCACCAGGTGGTCAATGAGCACTGATACATACTTCGCCGCAGAAGGGAGAACAATCTATTATTTGGACCAGTCTGATAGAGTGCCAAGATCTGGCAACGTAAGCATGTCGCTATCACACTTCAGCTCCTCTTTGATGTTTGGGTCATGTGATTTAACATGCCCAGATAATTCTCTGATACAGAGGATAAGTATGAAGAAGATGAATGAACTACTTTGTACTGCGCCACCACATACCGTTTTTCAGGAACAGATTTCCCAGCTGAACCTGATTCTTTGTCTTACACCTACTAGTGATGCTATGTCATACCTAATATGATTCCGATTGTAAAAATGCGGTACATCCACGTTCTCACGCTATATGACGTGCTAGCGTTTCACACGATCTATAATGCAATAGCAATCATCCCACAAGCATTTGTGAAATAAGTTCTGCAAACGTTCAGTATGCCTACATGAATCAGTTTTATAAACGTTCAATTAGAGTTAGTATAGGGCGGTACAGTGCCGTGACCTGGTTTAGAAGGTCCGGCGTTATTCCAAAATTTCCTATTCTATGAGCGATTCTGTGTAATGTATTTTGTCGAAATTATTGGTGAAATCTATGAAAACAGCACCAGTAGGTTTCGCAATATCCCTGAACACACCTACTTTATTGTTACTGCGAGAGGAAACACAGGGCATTTCAAATTTCTCTGGAAAGTATGGCGTGCGTTGAAAAATAGCTTGCTGTTTTCCAAGAGCACTTGACTATCACTGCGCTGGCAAGCTCAGTGAAATAGCGTTGTTGTTCGAAGAGAGTGAATAAATTCTCTCTCACAGGTAGGGAGGCTACAAAGTTACCAGTCTCTTGATATACCTTTAGCTGAGATATCCATTATTTTTTGGTAACCATGTGCCTAGCTGTCTGAGGCATTTAAAAAACGATATTTTGTTTGACGATCACACAGTCACTTCCGTCCTCTTGCGGCGCGTCCGAAGTTTGTGCTTTGTTTGTTGGTGAGTCCTGAGTAAGGACTGCTCATAAGTAAGCTGCTCCCCAGGATGATCCCAGTAACCAAACCGAAAACTCCGTCGAACCTCACATCCTAGGGTGTTCTTGGGTTGTACCTGGGCATCTAATGGTAGATTCATTTTGAATCTCAATCAGAATTGGTGAAATTTGAGCAAAATCTCTATTTCTGGCCTCCTTGCCTCCGAAGTCTCAAGAGAGTCAAAATTTTCTAGCAATTTTGTTTATACCAATGTAGTTTACGACTCCACCGCAGTTCAGACATCCGGAGGCATCTTCTGAACACTTACAAACAGACTTCAAATTGGAATATACTCCATTTGATTCACCATTTACTGTGATTTGGATGAAGGTTCAATGACACAGACGCAGAATACCCACTTATTACTTGAACTAATAATGAAAGGCTGAAGAAATCAAGTCAACTCACATTTAACTACCGTTGGTTTAGAGGGGATTTGATTAATGCCCAAAAAGACAACAGATGGTCCGAACAACACAAACAAAGGTGTTCTGTCATTGAGTAAGTATAGGCTTCTTCGTGGAAACCTCAAAAAGATAGCTCACCAGATGACAAGGACCCGGGTGCGCCCCCACCTTTTTTCGCTGCGGGTTTGCCGTCCCTGGAAATCCTTACTAGCATATATAGCTATGGCACCGTCTGTGGACACCTTTAAGAGAAGGCTGTATAGTCATGCAGCGACACAAGGACTGCGTTCAAATGGCATATATCCTTAAAATCCTATGTATCATTCAGGGGTACACAACTAAATTTGTCGTTTTACTTCTTTACATTCTCTCCCGTCGTGCTCTTTTGACTACTCCAACTAATACACTTACGCTTGTTATTATTCTTCATATTATATACACATACATGTATATATATCAACTACAAATAGAATTGGCCACCTATTTTTACGTTTTCCTCATATCGTTTTCTATCTTTTAGTCTGAACAACCTACACTAATTATATCTATTATATCTGTTATTATTATCATCTATTTTCTTTTGACGACGATATCGGAGGACTTACTGGCGAAAGGATCAACTCTACCTACAGTAGTGACAAAGACTTAACACAGTGCATACTATAAACTACATATAATTAATCCCAGACCTACTCCTTTTGGAATCAAACCGAAGCTACGAGAGCCAGGTGGCGGCACAACTACGCAGAAGGTTACCGAAGACCAGGAACCTTTAACTCACGATCATGAAGAGACCACAACTAAATCAAACTGGGTTATATTAGCTCGGAAGAACTATACTGGATATTGAACCACTGAAATACAGAATCCGATACAGAAATCCGACCGTAACTATGGCAATGTAAGCGCGGATGTCCAAATGTCAGCAGACCCTACCAGGTTTGATACAAAAACTTACTAACTGCCTTTTCAGCAACAGGTCGTCACGTAACGCTAGCGCTAAGCAAAGTAGTGCAAAAATACCTAAGAAACTGCACCAGTTAGAACCAATGACAATAAAACAGAAGTTTAATAACAGTGTTTCGAACATAAAATTCAAAAGTTGTGAACTTCCAAAACTCTCAAAATACGATGTGAATTGGTAAGAAATGATTATGTTTCCATAAACATAAAAAGTAATTCACATATTCTACTCCACCAAACATTTGCCCACGCAAATCAATTTTTGAATAAATCCCATTGGTAACAGGATTCGAAAAGTTTGAAAATTCCACTATCACACTCTTGTAAAAAGTTTGATAATTGCTGCACAACCCTATGGGCAGCTAAAACTACCCTTATTTAAAGTTTATCGACTAGAGTTGCGAGGGTCTTGGATATCTCAGAGTTAGATTTTCACATAGGCTGCTGGCAACTTTTGAACTGCTGGAAATCACAGAATTATGCATGTAAGAGTGTGTTGCTTTTGATTGTGTATTTAACGGGAATGATCGATATTTGGTAAATAACATCCTGACTCGATTTCTCGATAAAACTTTTAGAATTTTTTATTCTTTTTACGTTCACGGTGGTACACAGGACTACTTCAAGCCAGAGCCTTGAAGTTCCAGTAGCAATGTTGCTTATTTTTATGGGATGGGTTTGCTAACCCCATGACCTAACTTCCCTCTTTATCAGCCTTATTACTGGCTCAGCGAGGCATAGGAGTGAGTCAGCCGGGGATTGAACCCGAGATCATATGTGTGGTTGGCTAGCATTCTGCTGCTGTGCCACTGATGTATTAACTTTCAGATACAATGCTGATTACTTAGTAACAGTTTGTTCAGATGAATACTAATTTATAGGGCTAAGGAATTTCTGAGAAGTTAGTTATCACTCGGGACTGATTTTTTAAGTAAATTTATAAGATTATATTCAAATATCGTTAAATGACCTTCAGTACCATGTATTTTAGAACTAATGGTAATTTACTTGTTCAATATTGTATTTATTTCCTAATTGAAATGATTTCATTGAGCACTTATAATTTACTATAAATATGTTGTAAACTATTTGTCTACATGTATGACTCAAAGTTAAACAATTAGAATATTAGAACAACACATTTAGTCGAACAATATTGTTTTCAATTAGTTCTGATCAGGCTTAACCCCAGTATACATAACTTTACAAATAGAAATTCAAATATAAACCGATCATGGTATTTTGTCTACAGTATAATAAGATGGTGAATACAAATTGTACGACTAGTCATAATAGTAGTTATGATATTAATAATAATGGTTTTATCAATAACAAAGATGAAAAATAATAACACGAATAATGAAGAACACCATGAATAAACAAACAAATGTTCTGGTAGAAGTAGTCGATAAAGGCTAGTAAAAACAAATGAACCGATTACATGTTACTAGAATGGGAGGGAAGTAGATTAATTATGTTTTAATGAAGATGTGATAAGGTTAGGGTATGATAGGAGAGGGGTTGAAAATATAAGTAAGGGATGGTGTAGAAGTCATCAGTTGCTTATATCTTAGTAGACCAAGGAAGGCATAATGATTATGCCACATTCTTTTGAATGCATATTTTAGGTTTAACAGCTCGATGCCTGTCGCCTCATCTGTGTGCCTGTAGCGGAAGAATACAAAGTCTATTGGGAAGATTTGGTGGGATATGATGAATTGCTTTCAAAACTCTCGTTTTATCCACTACACGACCACTATCAACTAGATGTGACAAAAGTGAGCTATGGATTGTTTTTGTTTGTCCTTTTCAAACCATGATGAGAGTTGTCCAGTAATGATACATTGGCTAAGCTGTCTAGTAGTACGCCCAACATAACTGTTACCGCAGGTGCAGTTGAATCGATAAATGCATACAGATGTGGTGAAACTATCTAGCTTATCCTTTCTTTGCGTCCCAATCATTCTTCAGCTAGAGAATGACAAACATAGGTGTGCTACGTAAAATGTTCTTTGTATACCCCTAGAAATTCTTTGGAATAATATCTCACTTGATAAGTCATCACTAAATTTTAACTTAATAAATAAATGTGTTTCTACTTGCAATCATAGTCTCAGGTTTTCTCCCCAATGTTTTCAGGTGTTTCTTTGTAAAGCTATTCGGATAGCTCGTCTCCGTCAAGTGCGTTGATGGCACAGTGGTTAGGACTCTCGCCGACCATGCATATGGTCCGGGGTTCGATCCCCTGCAGACGCACACCCGATATCTATGGTCGGCCTGCAAAATTCGGGCTACCGATATCCATGCTGAAAATTCCATACCTGTACCAAAATAATGCTGTGTGGAATCAAGCTGTAATCAAAAATTAAAAAATTAAATTAATTAAAATCATGAACATACATTCAAATTCCCTTTGTAAATGGTCATCTATACATAACCTTCTTGTTATACTCATAAGACATTTAACAACATTTCTTTTATATTTAATGGACACGTAACTAAGGAAGTGCGTGTATTGCTCTGTGAAGATGCGCGAAGTAAGGATCGAATTCTTTTGATGCATGTGAACAAAAGATATCTCAGTTCAATACCGGATAGGATGTTATCTCTTTGGTCTACGGAAAGATTATCTAAATAAATTCTCCTAATTTGTTCCTTTCTTTTCGAGCGAAAAGTAGGGCTCTAAGCTATACAGTTTTAGTGGCGATTATATTGTCTTTCGGCGGGTTAGGGTTACAAGCTAGTGAACTAGGCAAGGCAGCGTTTAGGTGTCCACCAAATGAGAGTGGAATCGTAAAAATCTGCTAGACTGGAGAGCATTCTAGTAGTGAACCACCGATGCAATGGTAACAGATACTGTTTTCGATCCACAAATCCTTGTGTATACTTGTGTATATTATAATGTTCTGCTTTAAATTCACCTTATACACGTTTTTTAAGCTAACTTCAAACCTACATCTGATTCAGTGTACTTGTCGGCTTTCTTATCTTTTTTCTAACTGGAATATCATTTATCGTATGTGCATGTGAAATACAAAGTTAAAGACTGATAAAACTAAACTCAGGAGTTCAATCGCGAGCCCAAATAGGTGGCTCAGTGATAATGTCTCTGACTGCAGCACTGGGTGACGCCGGTGAGACATGAATTCCTTCGAGGTCGAATATGCGCCTTGCTGACTTTTGAGTCCCAACTAGCACGAAACCTAGGTCTAAGGCTTCCTGTGGCCGGTTGCCTCCAACTGTCTAATATATCATCAAATCAATGTGCACCGCGATGGTGAGCTCCCAAGAATGGTGGCCACATTGCAAAAGCTGACTGATACAATTCAGTCTGCACCAAAGAAAGGACCAGACACGTCACACTAGTTAATAGTGTCCAAACAAAGGACTAAACTCAATTTTTAAGACTCTACTGTCCACAAAGGTGCCGCAGTTCAAGTTGGCTTACTTCATAAAATCACACATAAAAGTAGAAACAGGCAAAAATAAAGAATTATAGGGGAACAATGATGGACGAAAAATTACAGGAAGAAGAACAATGAGAATTTAGTGAATACGTCTGTCTGTTTTCGACATAGAACCTTGCACCGATGTGCACCAGTTCAAGTCGCCACACGCCGTCCTTGTAGCACACAAAGCAAGAGAAGAAAGTAGAAGAAATGCATAATAGAGACAGTAAACAAAGATGTGAGACAGAGGAATAGTAATAGCGAGGAACAACACGGTTTTCTTGGACATCATAAGTCACAAGGAGTGGATGCATCTGCGTCAGCCATTAAAAACGGTTTTGAGCCATATCACCAATAGTTTCCAGCCATTGGTTTTTACCGTCCCGAGGACCCCAACCAGTCAAGAAGTCTACAGCTTCCTAGGTGACTGGCTTGAACTAACTGTTGTGGATTTTATTGACTGATGAAGACATGTTTTGGTTTGACCGCCGCCAGCTCTTTTCCAGCTTGACCATATGTCAGCTAACATTGCCCCTTGTTGAGAAAGGCGATGACTAGGCATACGTAACACATGTCCTAACCATCTCAGTCGATGTAATTTCACAGCCTCGTCGATTGATGTCCCCTGCTTACCCAGAACTCGACGCCTAACCTCAATATTGCTCACCTTATTATACCACTTCACACGGGAAATAGAGCCCAGGCACCTATGGTCGAAGACAACTAATCTTTTCATGTCTTCCACTCTCAATGGCCATGTCTCATTGACAGTCATAAAGGAGGACGGAGCGGACTGATGAGCAGCACACCTCCCCTTTGTTCGACAGCCAGTCGGATATCATGTCTACTAAGCCAGAGACGGTGTAAACTGGTATATGCGAAACTAGCTCTCTGTATCCGTGCCGAGATTTCATCAGAGATCAACTCATTGGCACTGGCTGATGGTACTTCCCAAGTAGGTGAAGCGGTCAACGTGCTCTACCACTTCACTTCCTATTTCTAATGTAGGAGTCGGAGTAGTTCAGTCCTGTAAAATTATTTTGCATTTGGTGAGAGTGAATCGCATGCCAAACATTCGTAGACTGCAGCTCAATGTGTTTAGAAGACTCTGCATTTGTGAATACGTGAAAACACAAGATTTGAATGCATGTGTAGCATTCATAAATATCTTGAGCCATATCACCAACGGTCTCCAGCCATTACTTATTGGCGTCAAGATGACTTAAACCGGGTAGTCTTCACTTCCTAACTAGCTCAAAGTATCATTCAAAGACTTCATGGATCGGTACCGTGTCTTTTCTGCTCACTCATAACTCTTTTCTAACCTAATTTTATGTAAATTAACACTACTCATGCAGGAGGTTGACAGCTTAGCATACGTCATAGCTTCAAAAAAAACCGGACACTCAGTTAGTGAAAGGTAATACATATATACATAATCTTTTTCAATAAATACTATATCATCATAATTTTTATTCTGAAATATTCATTATTATTAGTGGATATTATGCTGCACTGCGCGTGATGATTCAGCGATTTAGCCAGCCATAGAAACCAATTCAACCAAATAAGCTACTACAAGCTTCCATAAGTATCTGCCTTCACTGGCTCGATATCGAAGGTTGAATGGCTGGTTAGAAAGAATTAGCAACACATGAAATTCTAGCAACAAAACAAGCAAGAAACTACTGCCCAAAAAAATACGCTGAAGGTTTACAGAATGAACACTGAGGGGACCTTCAAGTGACAACAGACACTAGTTTCTCAAGTGGAGGCGACGACTTACAGTAACCAGGAGATTATGTCAAGCAGAAGTGGATTTTTTTGGGTAGTTGTGGAATTAGATACATCTCATTTATGTCACAGAATCGAGTTAAGTAGAGATTTGCCATTCAGAATGCAAGAAGTGAATGGAAACCTTAATAACAGTGATGAACTACATACGCGCAAACATACTCTCAGCATATAGTTCACAATTTGTAATCGAGGAGTAGTCATTTCTTTGATCTACTTTGCAACTTTGCAAACTAATCTACGATTTGAGATTTACGCCTTTTGAAGTGAGATTTTACCACAGTTTCATTTTGAAAACTGAAATTCTTCAAAGTATAGAATATTTAATTCAATTGATATAATAATAAAATTGTACTGCCGATACAATTGAAGAAGAAAGACAACACCTTACTGAGATAGTGTTAGATAACAATCACCAGCTGAGATTGATTAGGCGTTACGGAAGTGCCAACCATAGAGTTCTACCAATCCAACCAGCTCCCAAAAAGGATGTTTACATATCCTTGCCGTCAAAAGGTGATCAACAAAGTCTGACCAATGGACAAAGACTCAAGGCAGCAACTAATAGAATCTTTTATGCAGCTAAACTTATTTTCATAGAGAAAACGAAAACTATGCTGTCCTGTAAACCCTCACATTATCCGAACGATAGTGTCACATCCCACTGTGTTTATGAATTTACATGTATGTGTGGAGACACGTACATAGGTAGGACCCATCGATCTCTGCAGGTTAGGGCTACAGAACATATTCCAAAGTGGCTGCAACAACAAGTAAAATTGCCAGACACAAATGACCCCAGAAATAGATGTCCAACATTATCTATAGTAAAGCATATTATAGAGACAGGTCATGAGGTTGATTTCAACAATGCCTTTAAGCCGATATATGAAACAAGGTTGGGCCACATACTTAAATTCATTGAAGCCTTAGCCATAAAAAGACTTAAAACTGTCTTATGTGTCCAAAAGTTATTTGTTATCACCTTAAACCTACCTGCCTTGGTAATCCAATTTAGAATCAAGGACCAATTTACTTCATAATATTTTCAATCCCTGCTTTGCCTGGTGTTTTCTCTTTCTTACCCACACCTTTTGCGTTTCCCTACCCATTATCTGTGACTTTGACCTGTACACAATCTGACCTGTATTGCAATTATTCATGTCTTCTTGCCTTCTATAAAAACTGTGTCTGACAAGTACCCGGATGTGTGATCAGAATGTCTGAAATGTGTTGCGTCAGTACATTACACGTTTCAGATAAACTACATCTTCTTTTCGTGTTGTCGAAATTCATAAAGGGAACTAACTGCTTTAAATAATAAATGACAGTCAAAAAGACAAGAATAGGTGCGTTATCCTATATAATACTGATTAATTGATTGATAAAAATGTTTGGAAACCATTCACATCAGATGAGGTAGACCGCTAGTGAACTTAAATGAAAAAAAACGATCTTTCGGCGTTTAGAGCATATCAATCTGTCTGGATGCCCAAAAAGTACTGCTGGTTGACTTGAGTTTAATGAGTACCAACTACTTATGTCGATCAGTCAGTAGTATACTGTGACTTATTTATTTTTTTCGTCAGAATGAATGGTCATTCACAGATAGTGGTTTAACAAGGAGATTGAATAGAAAACATTATCGCTTGGAGGATTTTATATCATGAGCTGACATCAGTTAGAGAACCATTGGAAAGCCTGCAGGGAGTACTGGACAGGTAGCTGTTTCGTCGACCTAGTTCGGGACTCTTCACTAGTACGCGTCCACAGACAGGGTTAGAACCCAGGACCTTCTGGTTACAAGGCGAGCTCGTAGACCATTAAGCCACTGGGACTCAATCCAATGACCAGCCCATGAATTCTAACTTCTGCCAATTCGTGGCATACCGCGACCACTTCGCAATGTTTTCTTCGACGAGTTACTGCCTCATCTTCAGCCTGCTGTACCCTACTGGTCACGACTTCCCACTAGAACCCCAGGTAACTATTTGAATATGACCAGTCGCTAGTGAGCATAAGATTAATTTTCAAGTATTGGTTTTCTAGGGATTTTGTTTGATTGGTTGAAGGGTTTCATAAAGATTTGAAGAGAAAGTGATACCAAGATTAGGAAATGTTCGAATTATTTCCCATCACAGTGCTATTGATATTATATAAATCACGGGGCTGATACAGTCCATGCAAGACTTGTCCACATTTGAAATCAAACTTAACAGTCTGACATTTAGAGATATTCAGTCTAAGACCACTTGTAAACCTGAAGTAAGAAACTGTTTGTACTAAAAGGATATTTGTCCTTGAAATGATTTATAGTGAAATTAACTCATTTCTCTATAAAGAACTTGAAATCTTGATGTAGTTGTGTTCGTTGAGTTGGATGGTTTACTGGAGAAGCTTTCATTGTTCTAACAGGCAACATCTTCAGTGCATACTTCAATTTGAAGTGGGCTTTCAGATTTCTCCACGAGTTTATAAGGCATCTCTCCTGGTGACCTGAAACATTACTAGCTGTTTTTGTGTGCTTTCACACCCTCTAGGCTACTTGTATTGGAACTGATTGTTTCTTTGACTTGAACTTTGAGCCTTTGTTTGTGAGGTTTCTTTCTTATCGGTTGATAAATTTTGTCAATCTCGATGTGTCTATTGATTGATGATTCACTGGAATACCAGCCAAGCTTCTAAAATCCTCTATCATTGTTGTTGTTTCCTCTGTCTAATCTTTGAACATTGTCCCAGTCGAATCGATGTCCGTGGTTGTCTGTATGCAGTGAGTGATATGAGCGAGGGAGTGGATATCATGCCTTTTGACAGTTAGCTTATGATCGTGGATACGAAGACGAAGGGGACGTCCACTTTGGCCAATGTAGTGTTTTTCGCAGTTGTTACAGTTTATTTTGTAGATGATGTTGGTTTTGTCTTCCTTCGCTGTTGAGTCTTTTGGTTGACATAGAATTGAGTGCAGCGACTTTGTTGGTTTGTGTACGACGTCAATTCCTAAAGGTTTGAAGAGTCTTGTAGTGATTTCTGAGATATCCTTTATATATGGTAAGGTGATTTTCTTAGTGCTTTCCTTGGTGGCTTTTGGTTTGGTAGGTTGGCTTGTGGGTGTATGTCTCTTGATGAAATTCCGTGGATATCCATTCTTTTGGAAGACGTCCATGAGATACTTTTCTTCAATTTTCCTTAAGGTGGGAGTGCTGCAGTGGGTCCTTGCTCTCTTGAATAGTGTTTGTATGCAATTCCTTTTGTGTGTTATTGGGTTGTTGCTGTTGTAATTCAGTTATTTGGTCTGTGTGAGTTGATTTTCTATAAACTTGAGTTTCTAATTCCCCTGTGGTTTATTCTGCTAACTAAAACGTCCAAAATGGGATTCCGCCCTTGGATTCCTCTTCTCTTGTGAATTTGATGTCGTTGAAGACGTTGTTTATTAAGTCGTGAGTTTTGTCTAATTCGTTTCTTTTGATTATTACAAATGTATCGTCGACGTAGCGTATCCAAATCTTGGGTTTGATCTTTGGTAGAATTATGTTTTTGAGTCTTTGCATCACTGCTTCTGTAATCAAACCTGATATTGGCGATCCCATGGGTGTTCCTTTGAATTGTTCATATATTTGGCCGTTGAATTGGAAGTATGTTGTTAGGCATAGATTTATGCATTCCATCCAGCTTGTGTGTTGCATTTTTGATTGTTGTGGAAGTTGTTCGTCGTTGCTAAGTAATTGCTCCATGGTTTCTTTTGCTAGTTTTTGTCCGATGGAGGTATATAATGCTGTCACGTCGAATGATACTATTATTTCTTGTTCATCTATTTGGATGCCTCTGATTTTCTCTAGGAATTGGATAGCAGAGTTGATGGAGTGATCGCAAGATTCCGTTAGGTGTTTTAGTTTTCTGTATAATTCTTTGGATAAATTATATGTTGGAGTTCCTGGGAGTGATAGAATCGGTCGTAACGGGATATTCGGCTTGTGTATTTTCGGTCTGCCGTAGAATTGGGATAGGACTGTTTCGTTGGATTTTTCAATACAAGTAGCCTAGAAGGTGTGAAAACACACAAAAACAATCAATCACGTCCTAGGTCACCAGGAGAGATGATTAATAAACTCGTGGAGAAATCTAAAAGCTCACTTCAACAAATTGAAGTATGCGCTGAAGATGTCACCTAGTAGGGCGATGAAAGCTTCGCAAATTAAATATCCAGCTCAGAGAACACAACCACCAAAGTTTGCAATGTGACCAGCATAACACTTAGTGGCTTTCCATCACGGTGCCCTATGAAGTGTTGATACTGTGTATTTGTCAATCTCAACAAGAAAAGTATCATTAGTTTTCATCCATCTCTCATGTTTCTTCGTGTTATTCTTTAGGTTTCGTTTGCAGCTTCATGAAAATCTTCTTATCAATCTTCTGCAGAATGGTTATCATCAAACATTTTCAGAAATATTCTATCTAATTGATTTCGAAGAAAAAAGACGCCTACAACATGGAATCTCTTCACCCTACTGGTATGCAACCCAGCTGACTGAAAGACGCGATATATTAGCTGAATTGATGACACATTTGATAAATGCAGAAAATGCTTATCGTTTAAATCACATAGAAGAGGTATATAAAGAAAATTTATATTTAGCGGGATTATTTCGTTCAAGTGTCAAAGATGACTGGTTATTGGAGTATTTTTTACAAAAGTCTATGAAAATTGTCAATCAAGCGTATATAACAGTTAAAAATATGCTAAGGACTCAAAAAACACCTGATGGATCAATCAAAAAGAATTTGTGTGACATGAAAATTGTGTTAAAAAAGCGTCTACTTGAAGCAGTTTTCCATAATGCCACATATTTATATGAAACAGGTGACAGATTGTACAACTGTTGTTTTTTTTTGTTCTTTTTTGTGATTTCATTTTGAAGTGATATTTTGTAGAGATTTGATTGGTTGAAAGTTTGATTACGGATCTATATCAGTTAGAGGACAAGTTAAACTTTAAGCACCAGTAACTACCAATGGAGTGCGACTACACCAGTGACCTTGAAAGGTTCACTGAGCGAGTTACTGAAACCTGGCAGTTAATGTTTTCATGATCAATAAAATATGCTCATCAATGTATCATATTATTAAACGGGATATCTGGCAAGTTTCAGCTTAGGTTTGGGAAAGATTAAGTTATGCTTCAAGCCAAGGACAAGCAAGTTAGGGTTAGGTTAACACCTAATAAAAGGCGATATTAGAGTTGGTTCGAGTTAGATTACAGTTAGTTTATGGATATTTTCACGTTAGGGTTAGGTTTAGAAAAGATAAGGGTTATTGTTAGGTTTGGAAGACCTAAATAATTACGTGCATAGAATGTAGTTACGTTACTCTGTTGATATAAGAATAAAACTTGTGCACTATGGTATAATTCCATTACGGATTCAATTTATTATGATAATATCTCACAATGTTATGCAGTAATATTTGCTGATGACCACGTTTCGAGCACAATTTATTGCTCAGTAAAAATATAATTGTATAACACTGTGAGACAAAATAAATTTCAAGCACAATGGAATTGTACTCTGTTGATACTGCAACCTAAAAGTGAGAGCTAATTTTATAACATGTGAGAGGAAGGTATCCCCTGTAACACTTTGCTACAGTTTTTATAAATTTTCTTTCATAAATATATGTGTAATCCATACACAAAAATGCCTCCTTCACGTGATTGGTGCGTTCGAGGTTATTTGCTGATTGGTAGTTAGTTAGTGGTGCTTAAAGTTAAACTTTGCCCAGTTAGAGAACTATTTTAAGCTAATCTGATGTTGCCTGAGTTTCTAGTGAGAAGTGATTATTATTATTTCCTTTAATTCCTAGAGGAACATAGGGCTCCAGCTGAACGTCTCCATCGCGTTCGGTTCTCTCCCAACGTTTCCACCTGGCTCCACGTCTGCCCACATGCTTCCATCTCCTTTTCACATCACCTCCTCCAAGTCACCCTTGGACGACAAACTCGCCGCTTCCCTTTTGGGTTTCACTCGAAATCCGGATCTTATTTTCATTCTCATGCTGAGTGCTGCTAACCTCCACACAGATTTGAGAGTAGTGAAAGCTTGTTTTGCTTTCCCGATCCTTGCTTTTATATCCTCATCAGTTCCGTCCACCTGTAGTTGAAACGATGCTTCTTAGGTGGGTAGGTAGGTAAAGAAGGTTATTTCTTTCAGGTTCCTCCCATTTATGCTGGCTGATTGTTGTCTGTTGTTGCTGCTGTTGGTGTTGGCCAGGAATCTTCATCACCTCTGTTTTCTCTATGTTTACTTGGAGTCCTACCTTCTGTGGATGCTTTTTCTGTCAACTTGTTGCTTTTCACTTACGTATCTTCCAGTTTGTGGGAAATCAGACGCATGTCATCATCGGTGAAGTGAGAAGTGATGACTGGCGAATATGGTTCACCTAGTCGGGTGTGGAGAAGTCAAATACTCACAAATGACACTGACTGGCAGTGGAGATAAACTTACGAGTTGAAATTATAGACCATTGAATTTAATCTCAGTGGTTGAATAGTCAACGAACTCGTCCTGATAACCTGCAAGTGCTGGGTGCGTACTGATGATGATGAATTCTAAAACCCAGGGTGAAACAAATGTCTAATATGCCGTGGTGATTTCAGTGCTACTGTAATTAATATCAATCCATGATCAACCTTGATGTCAATTTCAATTGACTGATTTGTTAAGTATTCCGCTAGCCAATGAAATGATTTTAAGGTGTAATACCCACAGATGGTTAGATTAAACATCACCCAATAATACGAAACAAGAGGATGATTAAATGCTGATTGGATCAATCTAAATTTCACTTTTTGCAAGTTAACTCGTGATTTACTAATAACACAATTTGAGGCAAAATTTCACCAAAATCACCTTTCGAAACCAAAATTTTAAACAGATCGTAGTATGTGTGATCTAACTGATACCATGAATGATAATCAAGAAAGCAAACATAAATTCATAATGTTTGATTGACTGTATATGAGTTGGGTTGGATATCATCAACATTAGCCAGTGGTAGTGCTCAATAGGCAAACCAAATCGTTCTTAACAGCCGACGATTTTTACTTTCATTTCTGGCTGAGTTCCTCAACCGATTAGTAGTTTTCCCAATTAGGTCATCAGAAATCAATTGATTTGAAGTGATTAGAGTTCCTAAATGGGGTGAAAAGGGATAGAATATTGACCAGCTGGATGTGAAACAAGCGAAAAGACTGTTTATTATATATATCACACAGTGAAACAGTATTATTTACTGAATGACACAGTTTCAAAGACAATTTATTTATTGTTCATAATCATATTAATTATAATCACATGACATCGAAATCTGAGTTTTATAATTTTCTTTGTCCTCTCCTCTTCGTCGTCGTTGGGGTAGTAGAATTTTCCAGATATCCGACTGGACAGGTGTTGTTGAATCATTGCTATTACACACGTGTTTGAAGTTGATCCGATAAAAAAAGCTTCTGTTATCAATCTCTGCCTCCACCCTGCTACTACATTAGATTTTAAAACTGTCATTCTCTCCCATCCTGTCGTATGGTTGTGTGTAATTGCATGCAGTGACTGGTATAGCTAAACTATTCTCTAGGTTTCTTATCTTATTTGGGTCAACCAACCTAGATTTTGCTAGGTCTTTATGCTCGGCCAGTCTGACTGACCCTGTTCTACTAGTTTGACCTATGTATTTCACCTGACAATCAATGTCGAAAGGGTATTAGATAAACTAAATTGTTTTGTTTTAACGGCTCCGCAGGATTGACTCTTCAACCGACAAAGCTTGTTTTTAATTGAGTTTGTTGGTGGTTTGAATACCAGCCACTTTTATTCCTGCCAGCATTGTTAAAAATTCTGCGTAAGGTTTCCGAGGTTCCTTCCTTTTATGGAATTACTACTGATGATTTACATTCCTTATTGTTGGTACTGTCTTGCGCATATTTGACATGCATGTCGTCATCAATATTATTATTGTCACTATCGCTACTATCATTATTTATTTTATTTTTACATTTCCTTACATATCTCCTGACTAATTTATCCTGGTAATAATTAAGTTTAAATGCTTCCCTTATATGCCTCACTTCCTGTCTTAGATTTTCCTTGGTACTACTTAGCTTTTATGTTCTGTCACTTAAACATTTCACCAATCCTATTTTTACTGGCATAGAATAGGATGATCGGAAGTCCAAATATCTGTTTGAATGTGTCACTGAGTTTCCTGTAAACACTAGTGTGTTTAACTTCCCATCTTCTTTCCTTTTTACGCTGCAATCTAACTTTGAATGTTCCTCTTCTTGACTTTCCAATTCATCATAAGTGAATTGAATTGCATCCATCTTTGAGTTAATGTGTTCAAAAAGTCTATCTATATCCTGTGTTCTAAGTACAGTGAATGCATCACCTACATACCTCCACCATACTTTTGTGGTGGGAGTGAACGTTTCAATCACGATGTTTTCCCACCTATCCATGAATATATCTGCTACAACCGGGAATATTGGTGATCCCATGGCAACTCCTTCAGTTTGGTTCCCCTGGAATTTAAATACTGTGGAGGTTAGGCGAAGTTGCACTCGCAGCTATATATGGCTATAGAGGCACTCAGAAACCAACTCATTTCTGACCAAGAACTCGAACTTATGACGGAAGTGCACTTGAGGACAAAATGCTAATGAAAATTGTTCAACTGCTGAGCTTTTTGGAAAATTTAATAGTTAGCACTCGTCAGCAAGGAGTATCTGCAACCTTGAAGGAACTTATGTCCCTCATTCTGAGATTCGAACCCGCGTGACCCAGTGAGTTCTGCAGTCAGAGATGTTACCACTGAGGTATTCGGGCTCGCGTTTGACCTCCTGTAAGACTGTAGTTGATATTTTGATTTGACACTAGTAACGAGTATGATGTGTCTAGCCCTCTCATTGGTGCAGATTGAATTCTATCAGGAAGAGAAATCTTATCCCTTCTCTGTGTTTCAGAATTCGGAAAATTCGCTCTGTAGATACCATCAACTTAGAATTAGAAAGCCTTCATACAACCCTCTTAGATAATGGATATCCTGAAATGTTTATTGACAGAAACGTCGAGAAAGAAACGGTTCTTTAGCTAAACCATAGTACCATAGAGAATACTGTTTATGAGTTTGGATTTCAAACGTGACAGTATCTCTGAAGTAATTAAAAGTCGTTTATCTAAGTGTTGCATTAAACGGTGTTTTTATGCAGCTGACTTACATTTAGTATTTACCAGTCGAAATATGATTCGACAACGCGTTAAGGATAAACTACCGCTTATGTCCACCTCTATGTGCATATACTCATTCACACGCTCTCATGGAACTGATTACATTGGACATTGTAAGCGTGTTCTCCGTAAACGCGTAACTGAACACTACTCGGTTTGGTTAATGAAAGGTGAGCAGAGGACGACAAAGTCCACAATATGTGGACACCTTCTGCAGTCAGGTCATTCATCTACAGGACCAAATCCAATAACCCCAAAAGCTGACGTTTTCTTCAGTTATGCATAGCCCAAGCTTTAGCTATACATGGACAAAAAAACGTAAATTATATATTCTTAATCATATATTTATTCTATCTACCTTTGCTTTTTTTATTCCCCTGTATCACACACACAAACAAAACACACTTTTCTACAGAAAAATATCAACAAGCTTTGGAATTATACAAACATTTAAGTAGAAAATTACAAAAGCATACAGAATTATTGAAACCTTCAATAAATCCTTTTGAAGATGAAGAAAGCGTGACGATGATGACGACACCGCAAAAAACAACAACACCGGTGATTCCTTTAAATATTTTATGTTGTGAACAGATATGTAAATCACTACTGGCTATTTATAAACCAAAACCACGAATATCTTCAGAAGACAACGATGATAATGATGATGATGATCAACCATCAAAATTGTTATCCTACTTAAATGAAGCTTTAGACTATGCAGAAAAGTGTAAGTGTGTTAAGTGACTATTATTTCTTATCTTTTCATTTTTTTTTCCATTCCCTTTTGATTGATTGAGATTATGTTGAGCCGAAGTGATTCGACTCGTTGTTGACATATCGATCGAATCTTTTAGTACGGAGGCTTCGATTATGTTTTTATAGATTAATATGAAGTTATAGTTTCGTTGTGAGTAGGGGCTAGCAGTTGAATCCAGGATGCCAAAATTTTGTCCTGTTTCAGACTCGTCAGCTGCATTTGCCTGCAATCACTATCACTAAACAGTTGACTAGTTACTAAGAAGGGTGAAAAGCTTCCAGCCTGGATTCCACTGCTAGTCGTGATCAACCAAAAAAGCTTTACATTGATGATATTTTTAACTTCATTCTAAATAGTATAATTTCGTTATATTGTGGTCTAGAGCTCAACTAACCTGGTACATGGACTTCTTAATGTCAAAGGTTATGATTGAAGTAGGTGGGACAATGATTTGAATCCTGGACCAATTGACTAAACCTCGAAAGTGGTCCGGGGTTGTTTAGTCCCCGACAGACACACTCCTTTACCTCATCTCTAGCTTGAAACTCTATGTTCCACTAGAAATGTAAAGGAATAAAATTTTTTTTTCAAAGTTGCTTCAGTCAGTCCTGATTTTCCCTTGTGACTGATGGAACGAAATGTTCTACGTCTGGTTTAGAATTAAGATCTTAGTTCGAGCACTTCAACGATACTGACAATTAACATAACGGTATTTGATGGGTGGTAACTAACACTAAATACCCAGGATGTGTATTTCATCAATTTCCGGATTCATCAACTAAATGTACCTACATCTTTCCCAATAAGTGATATTGCTCCACCATAGCGGCTTTAACCCAGTATCCATCATTTTAAATCCGTTAAAAAAGAGTTATCGACTAAGCCATTTTTCATACAATGAGACATATTTTATAAATTTGAACAAAAAAAAGAAGAAACGTTTGCGCAGAATAATCTGGATCCATCTTATTTCGTCGGTTCTCATCAGCTGCGTACAGCCTGAATTCTTTGATAAATTAAAATGTGTACAATTTTAACAAACTTTTATCCATTAGCAAGCATACTGTCAGAGCGTCATAATAAAATAAGGCGTTGCGACTTACAAGGTGTCTAAAGTGTTACGATGTATATATATATATATATATATATATATATATATATATATATATATATATTATATGTATGTAATACAGTGAGTAGAACTTAGAAGATCAGGAAAAATTGTCTCTTAAGAAAGTCAAGTCATCAGTTAATATTACTGTATAACGCCACTGTGTGACATATCAAAATAAAATCTTATCCATAATGGAGTTATACTTTACCACCAGAAAGTGCCCAAGTTTTATACTTATATCAGTATCATATAAATTTAAATTGTTATTAAAGTCTTTCCACAGTTATAAGGCTGTTTATACTAATTCATTTTGCACTTCAAGCAGGACATCCGGCTTCAAGCTTAAAAGCTTCATCAACGGTGTTGTTGTTTTTTTATATTCTATGGGGAAGGTTGCTTCTAGCCTCAGCCCCATCCTCGCCCACATTTTTCCCCTTCTGTATTCAGGCTTACTACTACAGAGATTCAGAATTGCGTCGGCCAACAAATGAACTTAGATCTCAAGTTCTGGCCAGCGAGTATCCCACCAGTAAAACCACTACTCAAAGAAATCGTAATCACAAAAAGTAGAGCAGCTAAATAGTCAAATATTGCAGAAACTTCATATATTTATTCCCCTTAATGAATTTGATCAAAGCAAATCTACAGTTTTCGCAGAATAAAGTGGTGTAACATCTTTGATTTCGTTGCCTTCTCGTCAGCTGCTTACAAGCCAAAGACATTATTAATTATATTTACAAAAACAATTTTAACCTACTTGCAAAGAGTTCATTTTAAACAAAAATCAGTCGATCAGTATATGCATACAGCATATGTAATATTAAACACTATTCCAAACAACAATAATAATCATACACAATAGAAACTTTTCAGCAGTACGCATTCATATGAAAGAGAGATGAAAAATATCCAGTTACCAGACAGGGTAAAGAAAGACTGATAACCGCTTCTTTCTGGACGTATAAATCAGGTTTCATGCGCTTGATGGAAATGGCTTCAGCAAACTTGAGTTCTTTTGCCTATTGATAATTTTGAACGACTTTTCGACGTCCACCTCATGACCCGTGTCAAGGAGATGCCTGGTGATCTCACTGTTCAAAGAAAGCATTTGTTCCCTTTAGACGTAAGCTTTTTGGTATATGTTCAGGAAATCGTAGATATGCCCTTCTTCTTTCTGTCCTTCCAATGTAACTGCTCCCGCAGATACATATCTTTCATCCGAATGCGAAATGCTGAAAAGTTTCCATTGAGTATGCTTATTATTGTTCGGAATAGTATTTAATATTGTATAAATATATATATATATTATTACTGTATGCATATAGTGATCGATTGACTTTTGTTTAAAATCGAACTCTGTGCAAGTATGTTAAAATTGTTTTTGTAGATGCGTTTAATAATGTCTTTGGCCTGTAAGCAGCTGACAGAAGGCAACGAAATCAAAGATGTTACACCACTTTATTCTGCTAAAACTGTAGTTCCTGCTTTGATCAAATATTACAGGGTCAATTTGTTTCGCCCAAATATTCTCCTCTCTTTCTAATTCTCTTCCTTAAACATTGTATGTGTTTGTCTTCATATATATTTGAATATAGCAGAGAATCAAAAACTCATGGGATTATGCAATAAACAAATCAGTCAGGTATATCAAGTCAATGAACAATATGAAACAGCTTATGAAGTGAGTAATTATCAAAAGGGGAATAATTCTACTCTTTCTTTTGTTTTAATCTCTCAGTTGTAATTTTCCCATTGAAATAGATTGAACCAAAATGGTCCACCTTTGTTATGTAGTGTCATCCAATTCCTAGTATGGACACTTCGACACGAATTGATTTCTATTGATGACGACTAGAAGCGGAATCCAGGATGATGGCATTTTTGTCCTGTTATTTAGACTTGTCATCTGGATGTACCTGCAATCCCTTGTGAATGATGGCATTCCTAGTGGGACTCGAACACTGCACCCATCTTCAAAACATCAGACACACTTCAAAGCAACCTTGTCCATATAAAAGACAAAAATCCCCGAAGATTCCCTATCCAATTGTGTCTATAAAATAAAATGCTTGCTTGGAATATGATGCGACCTACATCGGACAAACATCTCGAGAAATCAAAATCAGAAGAAATGAACACCGTAGAGCATCTCTTCGACCACCGAGAAATCCGGTTGAACAAGAAAAACTTGAAAAATCATCAGCCATAGGTCAACATGCTATAGAATCGGGCCACAAAATTGATTTTGACAATATTGAAATCATCATCCAGAAAATCTTCAGAAATCACAAAGAACGTCTAATATGAGAAGCCGGCACTTCATACCAAGTGGAATTCAAATTGCCAGAAGAGGAATGATGGACTAAAAGAGAATCTGACCTGGTTACAACACCTCCCTCCTCTCCCTCATGAAGTGACAAAATCAACACGAATGTGATAAGCAAGTTCACTATGTAAACACACACACAACTTTTATAATTTTACACACTGATAAAATCTAACAATCTACGCTTGGTTTTGTTAGTATTACCTTTGTTATTTAGTTAAGTGATCTTCATTGCTATTTTTACTTTCAATATGTCCCTTTAACTTTACCTAACTTGTCTATTTTCTCACCTCTTAACTCTTTGTTATATATAAGCTGAGGAGATTTTGTAAATTCCGGTTAATAATACTTTGATAGAGCTATTAACACTAAATAGCGAAACGTCAGTAAGAGCAACAATGTCGTCTTGACCTTTTCATTCATTGGGAAATACAAAAACCTTTATTATAATGAATATCAGATACCCGATGCCCAAATTTCTTTTCAAACTGTTAAAAGTAAACTTGGTTTGGACATATATAACTGCAGCCATCACTTCAAACTTTGAACACTTATCAGCTCGATGAAATGCGCTATACTGAGGACAAAATACTCACTCCAAATTCCACTGCTCGTCATTATACACCAAATAAACGTGTTTATTTCCAAAGAAAATACAGTGATACTCCCACATCATTGCCTGATCTTGCTATGCTTCTCTACATCTTGCCGAGCTCAGACGATTTATTTACGAACATACGATATATAAAGATCAGCTAGCAAAGAATTATTCTTGGGGGGAAATGACAGCCTGATGAATAGTTTTCACATTGTCAGCTAAGGAATTCTTTATTAAGGCAAAATACAGTTTTTGTCCAGTAAAATACTTCATTCTCAAACAGTTGTACAGTCCTATTTATATTTATGTGGGAAAAGGCGTTAAGTAGCACTGAAAATTGCTCAGTCAATATACACATATGATGACAAGAATGAAGATAATTATTATTATAAGGGCAGCCGGCTGCTAGCCTAATTGGTAGGCAGTAATTTACGTCAATGTTTATTTCCCAAATATTGGTCATGTGAAAAAAAAACAAGAACAAAGACTGACTCAACAACCAATCACAGAAGACTTTGCGTAGGCGGATACGATTAACATATGGATGACCTGACATTCAAGAAACAGCCAAAAAGAGGTGCAAGCTTTACATTCTGTAAGATACAACCAACCAGAAGACTGTGTTTTTCTGCTAACAATAACCTATGATAATATACACGAAAATCTATAAATATGTGTCGATTTCCTTAATAAACGATCTGTTGCCTGGCCCTTGTCTTCTGTCGTTACAATATGACATGATTTTTTCTAAGCTGTGTAGAGTTGGAGTAGATAGATTGGTTACAAAGTTTGAGAAGATTATCAAATAAGCGAATTGATATGGAAATGAATGCTCTGGGGAAAATCATAGGATAGTTAGTAAGTCTTACAGTTACAACAGTGATGAACGAATGAGAAAAAATATCCCTTAAAGTCTGACCGCAGAACACGACGGTATTCGATTATTATCTCCACTTTGTTCTGTTTTCTGCACTCCTCTCTTCATCTTGGTCCGCGGTTGACCATAATCTCTCATCTCCTCCAACTCACACGATTTGCTGCATGTCACTCTCACACTGACGACCCACTTGCCACTTCCCATTGAGATTCCACTGGAGTGGTGACATGTATTGCACGCGATGTCATTCGACCGCCTCCTCAATGTATGCACGATACATCGCCATTTTCTCCTAAATATTTGTTGAGCAATTGACTCTCACCAGTTTGTGTGTTTCTAGCTAGAGCTTCTTGCTGCTTATCTCTGGCTAGCTGCCCATTTGATCTTCATTATGAAGGCAGCCAGTGAAGGTGACAGCTGTTGATGCATTGTGTCTGCAACATGCTGTTGGAAGCCATTTTTGTGACACGCAGTGCAATTTTCAGACCCGTATAGAAGAACCGATTTGAAATTGTTCTTGATTATCTGAATCTTGTTGTTTATGCTAGCAGCTGAGCGCAGTGCAGAAACGTTTCAAACTGGTTTCAGGTTGATGAAGGCTTGCGTATATCTTGTGCCTTTCCGATTTTGGCCAGCAATGACAACTTCATCCGTTCCGTATATATAGTTGTAACGATGTCTCCTAGATAAGTGAAGGAGGTAATTTCTGTTAAATCTCTCCCATTGACAATGATTGGTGCTGGTTTTTGTTCTTCTCTCTGTTGATTGGTTATCCTTATCACCTCCGCCCTCTCTATGCTTCCCTGGGGTCATGGATTTGCTGCCTGCGAGCCTCTTCAACCAGTTTGTTGGTTTTTGCTAGTAAGTCTTCCAATTTGTATGACACCAGACATATGTCATCTGAGGAATGCAGATCTTCCAGAGTCTTCTTATCGGTTAGTCCAGCGTATTCCTGTCTTCTCACTCACTCACTCACTCCATGTGCACAGACTGACTCGTAATCCAGTCCACCACAATTAAGAATATCATTAGTAGTAATAGACAGCCAGCTTGTCTTACTCCTGTATTCATTTCGAAAGCCTCACTGAGTTTTCTGCTGTATTGAGTAGCAGTTTCATATTTGGCATGGGAGGGGGCTAAATCAATATGCAATCACTGAATGCATAAAGCCTACAGTGAAATCTCTATTTCTAAATGTACTTCATATTATACTTCTTTCGTCGTTCCATTCATTGCCTTCAGTATATTGTCTCACAAGTATCCTTTCATTTTCACGAGTCAGTTTGTGAAGATTTAATATGCTTAATGTTAAAACAAGACATGTAAGCTAACAATATTGTTTTCAATTAGATTTTCTTCATATTAGTTGGTTTATTAAGATGTATCACACAGTCAGTGAAACAGTATTAGTATTCACTGGATGATGAAGTTTCGGACGAAATTTATCACCGTTCATAATCATATCATCGATTACAGTCACACGACATCGAAACTTGAGTTTTATAGTTTTCTTTGTCCTCTCCTCTTCGTCGTCGTTGAGGTAGTAGAGTTTCCCAGATATCCGACTGGACTAGTGTTGAATCATTGCTATTACACACGTGTTTGAAGTTGATTCGATAAACAAAGCTTCTGTTATCAATCTCTCCTTCCATTCACCCTGTTACATTAGATTTTAAAACTATCATCCTCTCCCATCCTATTGTATGGTTGTGTGTAACTGCATGTAGTGCTTGCTATAGCTGAACTATTCTCTAGGTTTCTTATCTTATTTGGGTCAACCAATCTAGATTTTGCTAGGTTTCTATGTTCGGTTAGTCTGACTAACCCTGTTCTACTAGTTTGACCTATGTATCTGACCTGACAATAATTAGAGGCAGGGTATTAGATAAACTAAATTGTTTTGTTTTAAAGGCTCCACATGATTGATCCTTCAATCGGCAAACCTTGTTTCTAATTGAGTTTGTTGGTGGTTTGAATACCAGCCACTTTTATTCCTGCCGGCATTGTTAAGAATTCTGCGTAAGGTTTCCGAGGTTCCTTCCTCGTATGGAACAATTACTGATGATTTAAATTCCTTATTGTTGGTGTCGTTATTAATATTATTATAACTATTATTTTTATCAGTATTATTATTATCATTATTATTATTATTATCACTGTCGCTACTGTCATGATTTATATTATTTTTTCATTTTCCTATGTATTTCCTGACTAAATCTATCACGGTGCTCAAGTTTTACACATATTAATATATCTTCTTCAGGCTTTACTCTAATTTTTATAGATTTATATATATTCATTTTTAACCAATAACGGTGATTTTGTGGATCAAATATTAATAATAACAATAATAATGTGGTAAATTAATAACAATGATTATAATGATAACAAAATATTGATAATAAGGTTTATGCAGGTGGCGATAAGAAGAATAACAAAGGTAGTATATGTATATATGTGTAAATGTAGACAATTCAATAAATAAATAAGTTAGGTCAAATCTTAAAAGGTGAAATGGAACGATAATCAGAGTTTAAATAAATATCATAAAAGTACGAAGGAGAGGGATGATAAGAAAGGGTGGGAGGGTTTTGAATAGAATTCACCTAGGCTAAGCAAGGGAGAGACAAAGGAAGAACAAACTTCTTTTGTTGTATGCAAAGACTACGATTGTTCTCTCGAATTAATTCCCATAGTTTCGTGTAAAAGACGGGTTCTGATTCCGTTCGTAAGGCAGTCTCGATGGAATGCGATAGACAACTTTGAAGGCACTATTTTTGTCAACTTGTTCACCGCTATCATCAGTCAAATGAGCCGAAATAGAACTTCGTATAGATTTTATATGACCTTTTCCGAACCATGAAGGAAGATGTTCAGTAATGATGCGTTTGTTAAGCTGTCTAGTTGTTTGCCGTATATAGCCAGCTATCTCCACATAAGCAACTAAATTTATAGATACACATAGAAGTGGGACAGTTAGCCAGGTAGCTTGTCTTTCATTTCAGCAATCATAATTGGTCGGGCTGGATTAATGTCAGTTAGAGATTCACTTACTTTACTTCGGCTATCTCCTACGGGAGGATGAACCGGCTTCATGAACATCTCAAATGTTTGTAAGAGAGTTGATGAAGTTTCATGGGAATTGGGTACGAATGATGTCCCCATAATCGCTCGGCCTTTTGTTTGAGAGTGCAGCTCTAGCCTTTACACAACCAAGTGTGACCTACAAGGCAGTAGGAGTGGAGTAGGGAGTCCACTATCCATTGGCAGCCAGTGACCGGAGTCCGGTTCATACGCCTTTTTGAATGGGGTCAGACATCCAGGGCATCCAATAAGCCCTTTGTTCACACGTCTGCCGGTGAACTCCGGTGAGCTTCATACGCCAGTCGTTGGAGGTTTGGAATCAGAGTTTAACCATCTCCCCTAGACTGTCATCCAATGGACAGTCAACCCGGTGAAGAGCGCCAGGCATCCGCTTTTGCCCTCTCACTTCGGTGAAATAAACACCTCCGCCACGTGAAGGCAGTGAGTAGGACTTCCTCAGGAGAGGCTATGTAAGACGCACGGTCATATGGGGGCATTTCGAGAGGTGTACTGGGGGGGGTGGCCAACCCGCAGCGCAAGACACCCACCCCCGACCATCCTGAAGCTTTGGAGGCTATAGAGATTCACTGATAAAACCCCTCAAAAAAGAAGTACTAGATAAATTAGTTGTTTTTGGTCTAGTTTGAGACTCATTGGCATTAGGCATCCACCTGCAGAGTTTGAACTCAAGAGAGACCCCTTCAGGTTACACAGTTAACCAGTATACCCCCATACAGCCAATAAGACCTGACTTTTTTTCATTTATCCTCTTTACAAGTTGATTCATCGCTCACTTATTCCATTATTCTTGAAGAAGACATCGCATATACACACAGTATACTACTTACAAACCTTTATCAGTATCACATACCACAGTGGTAGAATTTTTTATTTTGTGTTTTGAACGCTTTCATCTACACACAGATGTTTCACATTTACTCCAAAAACAAATGTTAGTTATTTTTATTATTATTATTATTAGTTACAGATTTGTCTTAGGCATGATATCCGGCTTCCTATCAAAGCAGGCACCTACATACAGTTGTAAGGAAATGGCTGTTCCAAGTGTAAAACTTGAACAGTCTGGTTATCTTTGACACGATAAGTATCTACCAAAAATTTCTCTTGTTAGTTGATACAATATAATCACTAATAGTGAATGAAAAGAGGGAGTAGAGTTTTAGATAAGAGTGGAAGATAAAGCGATGAGATGGCTAGTATGGTGAGAGCTGGCTGCTAGGCAAAGCTGGTAGACAGTAATTTACGTCAACGTTTATATCTCAGATATTAGTCATGTGAAAACAAGAACACAGTCTGACAGCAAACTTTGAGTAGGCGGATACAGTTAGCATATAGATGATCTGTGTTGATTTCCTTAATAAAGGATCTGTTGCATGGCCCTTGTCTTTTGTTGTTACATTTGGTGTCGCTGCCTACCGACAAATGGAAAGCCTATGCCCTGTAGTTTTTTATGGAGATATATGGATCTTCGGACAGGACTTCGAGGCTTCTGTGCAGTTGAGTGGCGTTCAAGATCTGTCAGCGATGAGGCTGTCAGTCGGGACGCTGCTGGGAGGTCGGGAGAAAGCAGCATGTGAAAGTGTAGGGCGAAATACTGACGAATGTGCGACAGGGTCAGGCAAACAGTTTCCAAAGTGGGAACGACCACATATGGTCACGTTGAAATGGGGTTACGCAGACACAATCGCAATAGTAAACAAAGAGAAACAGGTGAACATCAGCGAGTGCAGAGACTCCAGACAGCAACACAAACGAGCAAAGCCCTTAGAACCAAGAAGACCGAACCGACTTCAGTCGCAAGTCTTTGATGGGGCAACGAGTGTGGTGGGAGCTGGCCGTTAGTCAAAATTGGTGGACAGTAATTTACGTCAATGTTTATGTCCCCAATATTGGTCATGAGAAAAATAAGAACAAAGGCTTTGCGTAGGCGGATACAGTTAGCATATAGATGATCTAACATTCAAAAAACAGACACAAAGAGATGAAAGATTAACTTGCAATGAGAAACAACCAATCAGAGGACTGTGTTTGTCTGCTAACAATAATCTATAATAATGTGCACGAAAATATATAAATATGTGTCGATTTCCTTAATAAACTATCTGTTTCCTGGCCCTTGTCTGCTGTTGTTACACTAGGTCCAGATTAATGCACAAACCAAGCTGAGCGACGCTAAACAACATAAAATTAGATTGAGAAAGTGTTAAATGTATTTAAACCAAAACAGGGAATCAAATCATGAGTTCTACGACTGTTAGTTTGAGCCAACCAGTGTGGCTATGGTGCTCGAGACGCCAAAAACCGATGGTTGAGGGACGGTTGGTAACGTCGCTCAAAATTGTTCTCAATAAACCAGAGGAGTGTGCCAACGTTGCTGCCAATGCAAACGCATTAAATCTGCATTACTATCCATGTAATTATTTGTTCATTTCACTAGTACATTTCAACATGTCATTATCGTTATTATTATTGTTCTAATTGTTTTTAATTCCAAAAATATAGTTTGCTGAAAAATATCTACATGCCGCTGAACAAACTGATGATGTATTAGAAAAGATAGAAGCATATAAATTATTGGCAAATATCAATGAAAGGTGAGCTTTATTCACCGTAATCTTAAGTATTCACCCTATCTAATTGATGTACTATATATATATATATATATATATATATATATATATATATATATACTAGTTGATCACGGATTGATATCAGCTAGAGAACCATTGAAAACCAGGGAGTACTGGACAGCTGCCGTTTCATCCTAATTTGGGAATCATCGGCAGTACGCACCCACTGAGATTCGAACCAGGGACCTTCCGGTTACAAGGCAAGCTCGTATACCATTCAGCCACTGGGACCCGATTCAATGGCTCGTGAATTCTAACTTCTACTAATTCGTGATTTAGTGCGACCACAACCATTGTCGTTGGTGGGACATCCATCCACACACGTGACATCTAACTGGACCTCACTGGTCACGACTTCTCACTAGAACTCAGGAAACTCCAACCTGTAGCAAGTCACTAGCGAGCATCAGATCAACTTTCTATAGTTTGGTTTGTAAGGATTAGTTATGTTTTACGAGTTGATCACGGATTGATATCAGTTAGAGAACCATTGAAAACCAGGGAGTACTGGACAGCTGCTGTTTCATCCTAGTTTGGGAATCATCGGCAGTACGCACCCACTGGGATTCGAACCAGGGACCTTCCGGTTACAAGGCAAGCTCGTATACCATTCAGCCACTGGGACCCGATTCAATGGCTCGTGAATTCTAACTTCTACTAATTCGTGATTTAGCGCGACCCCAACCATTGTGGTTGGTGGGACATCCATCCACACACGTGACATCTAACTGGACCTCACTGGTCACGACTTCTCACTAGAACTCCAGGAAACTCCATCCTGTAGCAATTCACTAGCGACAATGGTTGTTGTCGCGCTAAATCACGAATTGGTAGAAGTTAGAATTCATGAGCCATTGAATCGTGTCCCAGTGGCTGGATGGTATACGAGCTCACCTTGTAACCGGAAAGTCCTGAGTTGGAATCCAAATGGATGCGTACAACTTGGTTTTCAATGCTTCTCTAACTGATATCAATCCGTGATCGACTCGTAGAAAACAAATCTATTCCTTACATACCCACGAGCTCACCTTTTAACCAGAAGGTCCTGGGTTTGGCGGGTGCATACCGCTGAAGAGTCCCGAACTAGGACGGAGGAAACAGCTGTCCAGTACTGCCAAGTTTTCCTGTGGTTCTCTAAATGATGTCAGGTCATGATGAAATCCCCTATGCAATATATTCAAGAGTTGATTTGTAGGGATACGGTTTGTTTTTCAAGTTAGACAATGGATGATTAATATATGTGTAAAACTTGGGCACTGCGGTAGTAAGTAATTCCATATTAATTTGTTTATTAGATATTTCACACAGTGAAACAGTAGTATTTACTGGATAACGTTTCAAACAAAATTTATTGCTCATAATCATATCATTTGTAATCACACGACTTCAAAACTTGAGTTTTATAGTTTTCTTTGTTTTCTCCTATTTGTCGTGGTTAAGTAGTAGAATTTTCCAGATATCCGACTGGACACGTGTTGAATCATTCCTATTACACGATTTCTCTCTCAGTTGATTCGGGTTTGAATGCCAGCCACATTTATTCTCGCCAGCATTGTTAAGAATTCTGTGTAAGGTTTCTGAGGTTCCTTCTTTGTATGGAATTACTACTGATGATTTACATTCCTTATTGTTGGTGTTGTCTTGCACATGTTTGACATTCATATCATCATTAATATTACTATCATTATTGTCACTATCACTACTATCATTATTTATTTTATTTTTACATTTCCTTACATATCTCCTGACTAATTTATCAGGGTGATTATTAAGTTTCAAGGCTTCCCTTATATGCCTCACTTCCTGTCTTAGATTTTCCTTGGTACTACTTAGATTTTGTGCTCTGTCACTTAAACATTTCATCAATCCTATTTTTACTGATATAGGATGAGAGGATCTGAAGTCCAAATATCTGTTTGAATGTGTCACTGGGTTTCCTGTAAACACTAGTGTGTGTTTAACTTCCCATCTTCTTTCTTTTTTACGCTACAATCTAACATTGGAAGCTCGCCTTCCTGACTTTCTAATTTATAATTTAATTGAATTGCCTCTAATACTATTTCACTGTTTGATGCTTCTAATAAACAAACTAATATAGAATTACAGCGGACTGATATCAGTTAGAGGATCATTGCAGACCAGAAAGTATTGGATAGCTGTTTCGTCCTAGTTTGGGACCCAGTATCTCTCTATCATAAAGCTAAATAAAAATAATTTTCAAGTGTTGGTTTGTAGGGATTTGATTGGTTTCAGGATTTCATCATGAGCTGACATTAGTTAGAGAACAATTGGAAAACCTGGGAGTACTGGACAGCTGTTTCGTCCTAGTTTGTGACTCTTCAGCAGTACGCACCCGCCGGGATTCGAACCCAGGACCTTCCGGTTACAATACCAATGAGATGCTCACTGGCGACTTGCCCTATTCAGCTAGGTAGTTACCTGGGTTCCGGTGGGAAGTCGTGACCAGTAAGGTGCAGCTGGTCGGGTGTGAGGACAAATACTCGCCGAAGACATTGGCTAGCGGTCGCGCTATGTCGTGAATTGGCAGAAGTTAGAATTCAAGGACCATTGGATCGGGTCCCAGTGGCCTAATGGTATACGATCTCGCCTTGTAACCGGAAGGTCCTGGGTTCGAATCCCGGCGGGCGCGTACTGATGAAGAGTCCCGAACTAGGACGAAACAGCTGTCCAGTACTCCCAGGTTTTCCAATGGTTCTCTAACTAATGTCTGCTCATGATGAAATCCTGAAAAATTATTTTCTTTTTTATAAATTATTTATAATATATATATATATATATTGATTTATTTTCAGTTTATTGAAAATCGATGAAGCTGAAAGTAATTACAGCTCAATTGTGAGTTGTGCAAGTCAATGGAATAATCCAACTATACTACTTGAAGCCTATGAAATGTTAACTAAATTCTATATAACTAAAACACATAAATATGAATTAGCTAAGCTGACTTCTGAAAATGGATTAAAGTATGCTCAAACAATGGAAGATAACCCAGCAATAGCGGCAACAACTAATCTTCAAAAATCCCTTATCACTGATCTGATTCATCAATTAAAATTATATTATTCAATTGCAAAGGGTAAATTATTAGAAGTTGATTATTTGACAACAATGATTGCTGCTCAAACCAATTCACAGGATATGCTCAGCTTAATTAAATGGAAGAATAAACATGACGACTTATCAGCATATGATAAAGATTATTTTATGAAAGTAACATGTAAGTTTTAAAATCTGTTATTAATCACTTATCAGTGCCATTTTTACTCCGTCTGTTCCGATGGAGAAGAACACTATGTGTCCACGGCACATCACCACTTCACTCACTTCTCTGCAGTACCTTAATTAGGGCTGACACCACGGCTGTCAATGAATTTCCGCTTAACCCCCCCCACCACACACACACACACAGTCTTCTCCATGTCACACTCAGACTCATCATGAAATCGTTACTTCCCATTCCTCAGACTCCACTTTAAGGACCTGACTCACGATCTCACTCAATAGTTGCCTTATTGTGTATCCAGTCAAAATCTACCTCCTTCTGCATATAGGCAATTGGCTTTCAGTTGGTTCTTTACCGGAGTTCCTAATGTGATGACATCTTCCTTTCTAATTAGTTGTGGTCTTCAGTATAGAGCGAAGGTAGAAGTTGATGAAAATCTGCCTGATATATAGTCACATGATGTGTGTTTTGTTTTTGACAGTCTGATATATTTTGCTATGTGTATATTGATCGATATTCCATTATAACTCACAATATACTTTGCCTGTCCATTAACTAAATAAACAATGTATGACCTTTTTGTCACATGACATTACAACCAATCAGAATCCAGTGATGGTAAAAAAACTACCTATCTGTCTAATTGGTTCGTGTGTGTTAGTTATTTTCTTATATACTCTGCATTGTACACTTTTATACACACTTGTTCACACCTTTCGTAGTCTACGTACCCTTTCACTCACACACTTGTGTGACAGTCAATTTCCCTTGTTGGAAGATACACATATCATCGTGAACGTGGTGGCCTGATTTTCCCCTTTTCGCGTCAGGACAATTAACTACTAGCATCATAACAGTATATTGGCGACAGGTCCATAACACTGCCAAAGTCTGCTGGAAATGCTTTTTTGCACGCATGATTCAAGTACCTGAACGATATAGAAGAAATGACTTCATGTTGGTGTTGAAGATTCGGATCTCATTTCTTACGTTAAATGAGGCAGGTTTCTACTCAAATTTCATATCAGTTCCTAATTAACTTTGGTATACTCATTCGTTCCGCCTGTAGGTGACACGAAGCTATCTAGATATGTGGAAAAGGTGACAGCTTACACATTTTTCTTGTTGATGCCCAGCTAGCATTTTCTTCGGGTCAACTGCAGATATTTCGGATGCATTGAAGAGAACAGGATGGTTGTCTGCAGTCTGAACTGGATCCTGACCACTCGCCTACGGTTACGCAGATGACCGTTAGTCTCGAGGTCACACGTATAACATACCTAGTATGACGAGCTTATCGTAAGAAATAACCATCAGTTAATAGCGTAATTGGTGTGGTTATAGCACAGTCGGTTAGGTGTCTTCATCAATTTTGTCTTCCCCATGTTCACTTCAAGTCCTGTATTCAATGCCTTTTCTGCCAAGGTATTGGTTTTCATAAGACACAAAGTGATTGAACAAAGAATACCGTTTACGATAGATCCATCTTTTCGCTCTATAATTACATATATAGTCTTCAATTAGATCTCATCAGGCTTAACTCTAAGAAATACAAGTTTACAAAGTATTATTATACTTAGAGAAAGTTATTAGCATTAAATAGCGAAACGTCAATAAAAACAATATCGTTTTGTTTTTCATTAATTGGGAAATACAAAAAAACCTTTATTATAATAAATAAACCAATCATAGTGTTTTGTCTATAGGATGATAAGATAGTAAATATAAATTATAAAATTAGTCATAATAGTAATAATGACAATAATAATAGTAATAATAATAATAATAATCGTTTTATCAATAATAAGGATGAAAAAGTGACGCAATCTGTGATAACACGAATAATGAAAAAACAGCACAACTGAACAAACAAATGTTCAGGTGAAATTAATATAAGTGTGAAACTTGGGCACTGCGGTAGTTAGTAATTCCATGTTAGTTTGTTTATTAGATGTATCACAAAGTGAAACAGTATTGGTATTTACTGGATGACAAAGTTTCAAACAAAATTTATTGTTCATAATCATATCAATTATAAGCACAGGAAATATGTAGGGAAATGTAAAAATAAAATAAATAATGATACTAGTGATAGTGATAATGACAATAATAATAGTAATAATAGTGACGATATGCATGTCAAAGATCCGTGAGATAAGGACAACACCAACAATAGGGAGTCTAAATCATCAGCAGTAATTCCATACAGAGAAGGAACCTCGGAAACCTTACACAGAATTCTTACTAATGCTGGCAGGAATAAGAGTGGCTGGCATTCAAACTACCAACAAACTCAATTAGAAACAAGTTTTGTCGCTTTAAAGGATGAATCCTGTGAAGCCTATAAAACAAAACAATTTAGTTTATCTAACACCTTGCCTGTGTTAACTGTCAGGTGAAATACATAGGTCAAACTAGTAGAAAAGGGGTAGTGAGACTAGCTGAACATAAAAACTTAGCAGCGAAATCTAGATTAGTTGACTTCAATAAGATAAGAAATCTAGAGAATAGTTCAGTTATGGTACTCACTGAAGGCTATTACACACAGCCATACTATAGGATGACACGATAAGTTGACAGTTTTAAAATCTAGTGGAATAGCAGGGTGGAGGGATAGATTGATAACAGAAGCTTTGTTTATCGAATCAACTGCAAATGCGTGTAGTAGGAATGATTCAACACGTGTCCACCAGGATATCTGGAAAATTCTACTACGCCAACGACAACAAATAGGAGAAGACAAAGAAAACTATGAAACTCAGGTTTCGAAGTCGTGTGATTACAATTGATATGATTATGAGCAATAAATTTTGTTCGAAACGTTATCCAGTAAATAATACTGTTTCACTGTGTGACGATTCCAATAAACAAACTAATATGAGATGTTCAGGTGGAAGTAGTCCATAAAGACCATTAAAAACAAATGAACCGATTAAGTAATGTTACATTGTAGGGGAAATAAACGAAATAGAGGTTTCTTACCTGCGATCAGAGTCTCAGGCTTTTTCTCTGATGTTTTCATATCTTTCTTTATGAAACTACTCGGATAGCCCACCTCCGTCAAAGAATTGTGAATATATTCAACGACTTCTTCACCACCCCTTGTTTATATTTTCAACCCTTTTTTATCATGCCTTTTTCTTATCACATCTTCAATAAAAACGTGTCTCGTTTCCTTCCCTTACGCTCAGTCTAGCATTACTTAATCGGTTCATCTGTTTTTACAAGCCTTTATCGACTACTATGTCTACTTGAACATTTGTTTGTTTAATTATGCTGTTTTTTTTTCATTATTCGCGTTATCACAGATTGCCTCACTTTTTCATCCTCATTATTGATAAGACCATTATTATTATCATTATTATTATTATTGTTATTATTATTATTATCATTACTACTATTTTGACTAATTGCACAATTTATATTCATCATCTTATTATCCTATAGACAAAACACCATGATTGGTTTATATTTGTATTTTTATTTGTAAACTTATATATATTAGAGTTAAGCCTGATGAGATCTAATTGAAAACAATATTGTTTGCTTAAATGTGTTGTTCTAAATTTTACTATGGGAATATTTAATATATTGAAATTATATATTTATTATTATATCCTTTAATTCCTAGAGGAACATAGGGCTTCTGCTGCCAACTTTTTCATTCCGTTCCAAGTCTGCCCACATGCTTTCATCTCCTTTTCACATCACCTCCTCCAAGTCACCCCAAGACGACCAACTCGCCGCTTCCCTTTCGGGTTCCACTTGAGGGCTTGTCTATTGATGTCACTTGATGGTTTCCTCAGAGTATGGCCTATCCAATCCATTTCTTCCTGCCTATTTGTTTCACAATCGGTTCCTGGTTGGTCCGCTCATTGCCAGAGATCCCTGTTGGTGATCTTTTCTGGCCATCTGATCTTGAGTATTGAGCGAAGACAGCTTTTAATGAAGGTCTGAAGTTTGTTTGAGATGCTCTTTATGACGCGCAGTGCAAGTCTCTGATCCCTATGGTAAGTAGCACTGACTTCACATTGGAGTTGAAAATCCGGATGTTATTTTTGATGCTGAGTGCTGTTGACCTCCACACAGACTTGAGAGTAATGAAAGCCTGTCTTGCTTTCCCGATTCTGGCTTTGATATCCTCGTCAGTTCCGCCTGTAGTTGAGACGATGCTTCCCAGGTAGGTGAAGGAGGCTGTTTCTTTCAGGTTCTTCCCACTTATGCTGATTGTTGTCTGTTGTTGCTGTTGGTGTTGGTCAGAAATCTTCATAACCTCTGTTTTCTCTATATTAACTTGGAGTCCTTTCTTCTGTGGATGCTTCTTCTGCCAACTTGTTGCTTTTCACTTGCGTATCTTCCAGTTTGTGGGAAATCAGACATATATCATCGGCGAAGTCCAGATCCTCCAAGTCTTTTGTGTCAGTCCATTTTATGCCTGTTTCCTGATTGCCTATTGTCTGTCGCATTATCCAGCCTACTGCAATCAGAAAGATCATTGGCGATGGTAGACAGCCTTGTCTCACTCCCGTCTTCACTTCGAAGGCTTCCATAAGTTTCCCGTTGTGGATTACTCGGCATACAGCATTGTTGTACAACTGTTGGATGAGATGTATAATTATTGGAGGCACCCCTTGGTAGTAGCGAAGTAGTTGCCAAATCACCTCTCGATCGACACTGTCGAAGGCCATCTCAAAGTCGATGAAATTGAGATAGAGAGGTGACTGCCATTCCAAGCTCTGTTCAACGATGATCCGCAGTGTGGCGATTTGATCAATACATGATTTGTTTCTCTTGAATCCGGCCTGTTCCGGACGAAGTTTTTCATCTAGGGCTTGTTTGATTCTCTCCAGGATGATGCGACTTAGTATCTTGCTTGGAATGGACAGAAGCATAATTCCACGCCAGTTTTTACATTGACTTAGGTCTCCTCTCTTTGGTAGTTTGAATAAGTATCCGTTCTTCCAATCCTCGGGTACTTTGCCCTCTTTCCAGAC